TTTTATCTCAGTTGGATTATTAATGAGGAAGTAAACTCCTCTGAGGAGCTGGAAGGTGTAAATATTCATATATTTTGATTATTGTGATCACAGAAATATGATTTAATGATTCACACATAACAAGATTGCACAATCATTATTTTTGCGATCTCTGGAGGGGAATCATTTTCTGGTGATTACGACAAAAACAAGCTTTTGGTTGAGATTGTGAAGAAATTATAAGTTTGTTAGTTTTCTTGTAATGAGGCAGCCGGGTTTATTTCCAGCTCAGGAAACAGTTATAAGGAAGGAAATAAAATAAATACATAATTAAACCTGCGTAAAAACGGTGAAAGTGTAGAACGAGACGTTGGAGGTTTGAACACACACACACAATGATGTCATGTCTCTGCACACACTTCCAGGCCAATGTGACCCAACCTGTCGTACAGGTGAGCAGTCGGAGGGGAAAAAACACAAAAACAGCAATTACATGAATGTTTGTAATACAAACAGCCGCCCATCACGCTGCTCACACAGGACGCCAGTTTCCAGCCGGTAACAGCGACAATCAAATGACCCGACTCATCTGTCAGCAACCAGCACCTGCCCCGCAAAACGGCTGAGTCGCCGTCTTTTAGGCGTCGGCGGCAAGCAAAATAAAAGTTTGGAAACAGAAAATAAAACAGTAGTTCATCAGTTTAACTCGAAATCATTCGGCGTTGACGGGTTCAGACACGACGTCTCACTGACGCTGGATGACATTTAATAACGATAATTACACTTAATAGCAAACGCAACGTCAACAGTAAGTTAATGAGAAGAGCAGCAGATAAACACCGACAGCAGTCTGCAGATAGACAGCAACTGTTTATTAAATGATTTAATACTGATTCTTCTACAGGAACGTTTAATGTTTCTATAATAATCAGATTATTGATCAGTGATCGGGTTGTAGTGGAGCTTTGTCCCTCTGCTGTCTGTGGACTGATCTCTATGTGTCTCTATGTAGGATGAGGGTCAAAGGTTGTGACCTTTATGCTCCCGAGTGTCAACAGTGGGCAACACAGAGTCCAACACAGAGTCCAACACAGAGTCCACAACACAGAGTCCACAACACAGAGTCCACAACACAGAGTCCAACACAGAGTCCACAACACAGAGTCCACAACACAGAGTCCACAACACAGAGTCCACAACACAGAGTCCAACACAGAGTCCACAACACAGAGTCCACAACACAGAGTCCAACACAGAGTCCACAACACAGAGTCCACAACACAGAGTCCAACACAGAGTCACAACACAGAGTCCAACACAGAGTCCACAACACAGAGTCCAAAGTCAAAGTCCAACACAGACAAACTAACATTACTACAAAGCTAGTCGAACACAGAGTCCGATATTGACTCCACAAAGCTGGCCAACACAGAGTCCAACTGACAGAGTCCACACCCAGAGTGCACATGAGTCCAACACAGAGTCCAACACAGAGTCACAACACAGAGTACAACACAGAGTCAAGAGTCACAGAGTCCAACAGAGTCCAACACAGAGTCCAACACAGAGTCCAACACAGAGTCCACAACACAGAGTCCAAAGTCAAAGCTAACATTACTGCAAAGCTAGTGGAACATATTGTCTGATATTGCTTTTAGCTGGCTCACGTTGAACTGACAGCGCCCCCTGGTGGACATGGTAATTCTTACGGGAGCAAAGGGGGACGTACGTTTAAAGGATCAGTCCTTTAAACGAGAAATTGCGATTCATTTAGTGTTTTAAACCTTAACCATGTGTTTATTATTGTAACCACGACAACAAAGGTCCCCTAAACTGAACCGAACCTTAACGCGGTGTCGTCTCGCCATAAAGCAGATTTATTGTGTGTTTGATTGATTGTGTTTTCAAGGAGGAATTAACCTGCGTCTCGTTTTAAATAAAGTTTAGAAAAGAAGATTCCTGGTCTCAGTCTTTACCCCCATGTCTTTATGTCCCATCAGCCCCGGCGCGCTGTGTTTGGAGCGGTAACAGCCGTCTCAACCCGAGGCAGTGACTGACTGACAGCTGATGGGCTGCTGCTTTGTCGTCTTTGTTTACAGCATCGACAGTTTTGCGTGTTTGATGGAGGATTAGAGCTCATTAAGAGAGCGAGGCTGGTAGCCAGGAGCTGTTCCACATACCACACAGACAGTCTGCAGGGAGAGCTCATATCTCACCTTATCTGCTGCTAATGTCGGAGCTAACACTCGTTATCTATACGGGACAATACTCTATGTTATTGTTGAAGTTCTCTTTATAAGTTCAGTTTTTATTTCTAGCTTTTTTCAGAGGTTTTGACGCCACACACTCTCACACTCTTTTCATATTGTGCTTTTAGCTAAAGTTAGCCTGATAACACAGATGAATTGTTAACAACTAACAGTCAGTTATCTTCATCCAGCCTCCCCCAGCTGATCTGGCTAACCTTAGCTTGCTTGCTAAGTGGATATGTTAGTTGGCTAATGTTAGCTTCCCCAGCTAA